TGATGAAAGGGTACTACAGAAGGGCAAAGATGTTATCATCCTTGACTACGTCTGCAGCTTCTTATAACATATTTGATATGTCATTATTTCTAATGTTGTTGCTCTTTTAGTCTCAGATGACATCTTTGATGTTAACATGATTTACTGTTGATGTTATTTGATATGCATATCTCTGTGCTACCTTTCAAAAACAACTGATTGATTTCATGGTGTTCTTTGATCAGTGTTCTTTTGTCAATAGTTAAACTATTAACTTTCACAAACCAATTCATTTTACAATAAATAGCTTTAAATTCCTTCTTCATACCTGTCTCTGTTGACCTATTAAGATGCTCCGTATTACCAGCAAAGTATGTTCTGAAAAGTCTGTCATGACTTTAGGCTAGAAGGGAGAGAAATCACAGCGAGGAGAAACAATCTTTCGCTATATTTTCAACTAGATATTTCAACTTGCTTTGAAACTGAATTTATGGCACATAAGAAAAGGGACTGAAGATCTTGAAATGCCTTCAGTGCACAAAGAATGCTCTGTAAGGACAGAGTACTCACTTCAGTATTTTACCCTGGTGTTAATTTCTCATAGCATATATTATTTTTTATGTAACTTTTAAAATATTCTCACAGTAACTGATATTTGAAAGTTAAAACAATGATGATTTTATCCAAATATATCAGTAGTTTTCAATATTTTTAATGTATAGGACCCTAGAAATTTCCGGGCAAGATGGGACTTTTTATAGAGACTCCATGTACACAGGATCCAATATTGCATATATTATTTTTTTTCCTTTTGATATTAGTTCATTTCACAAAATGTCAGGAATATAGAAAAACAAAACTGTAAATGATTAAGCTTATCATCATTACCCATTGTGGATATAGTTTTTTTAGACAACTATTTAATAATTAAATAGGGAGGTTTTTTACGTATTTACTCTGCTCTTGACAAGGATGTTACAGTTCTACTGTTTAATATATTGTTGTATTTTAGCACAGGTTATTAGAGTTTGCTGCAATATAACATTTCTATTCTTCACAATAATTGGATTTTTGAGGTGGCAGGAAACTCCTGAGGGAGTTCCTGCACGTTGTTTCATTCCCAAAGGTGTGGAAGCTGGTCAATGAGGTGGGTGCCTGTGGGGAGATATTTCCATGATGCCCTAGGAAGAACAGCAGAAGGCCAATCAAACGCTAACCCGCTCTCAAGCAAGTTTCAGAAATATACTGTGTCCATGTAGGACCTGTAATTCTATCATTTTATTATTATTATACTATAGTGGGAAATGATCAGTGAGTATTAGGTTTTGATATTTGAAAGCTGGAGGCTTCTGAAGAAAGAGGCTCCATCCTTCTTCCACCATGAAAACTGGGAAGTACTTTACCAGCCATGGAGACATGAAAAACCTTACTACTCACATAGTACTGTCTAATCTATAAGTTGTCACCAAAGTTGGCATCCAAACCTAACCTTGAAGACTCATTGCTCACATTTCACATGTGGAAGGAACAAGATAAAGCAATGGAATCTGGTAACGCTTCTGTTGCAGCATCTATTGCCCTTTCAGTTGAAATAGTTACAAATATTCTATGACTACACAGGTAAACGCTGAGATGTCTTGGCTATATTTGAGCAACTGTTGAGTTCCAAAATTACTAAGTATTATTCATCATCAAAAAAAACCCAAACCCCACCATCCAATACAGAACGATTGTCTCCAGGAAAAACAACTAAGCAAAGTGAAAATGCAATATTTTGGTACTTCTTATGTCCTAAAATAATGCAGTACCCAATATTTTGCCTTCAGTGAGGCAAGTCAAGAGCTAGATCAGCCAATGAGCAATCTTTCATTTAAACTGGCTTTGATTCTCCAGGTTGCTGACAACATGCTCACTTGCTCAGGTTTCCAAGAGCACTGAATGATGGTAGATATTTTTATGGTGAACACATTCATTGACACATTTTCAACGTGGAAAAAGGCAAATGCAGCTCTAATTATGAAACATTGCATCAATCTGTAAATATATTGGAACCTGGAGTCACAGCAGGGAGTAGCAAGGAGAAAAAATGGCTTCAGGACATTAACAGAACAGTATGGAAGTCATTTCACCCTCCTAATATTTTGAGAAAACATGTAAGAAAATGATATTGCACAGTTGAAAGCAGTGTAGTACTGAAGCCAATGGCTTAGGTCTTTAAAATTAGAATCGATAATTAATTTCCAAGCATAAAGGTCTGGTTCCATCCCATCTAGCTGTACAGTTTTAAAATACTGCCTAATTAAGTATCATAATTCCCTATAGATTATTCCTAAAAGTTGGAAAAGGGGAAACATTTCAGCTACCATATGAATATTATCAGATTGCTTCTATAAACATAGGATCATACAAATTTAGGATGTTAATTAAGCTTTCTAGTGAAAGAGTGCAATACTGGGTAGATTCAGGTTTATATTTCCACTACAAATCTCATACCTACATGTCACATAGGTACCTATGCTTCATATACAGCACACAGAAAGAGGTAATGTCTCAGATGGGCTGTTCAAAAATATCAGAGGTTTTGTGAAGAAATGCCAAACAAGGAAGGAGGGTAAAGCCACTCTACAGGAGGTGGCGATAGTGTCACCATCACACAAAGATGAGAGGCCACAACTGTGTTTCCAGCTTGAGAAGACTCAAGCCCATATCATCTGCTTCCTAGCAGAATGTCCCATCCACCAGGGTGCACAAAGGAAACTGGGGAAAGGGATCTTCACCCAGATTCTCATGACTTGGAGTCAAGAGAGAGCTAAGGCGGGAGAAGCTTGATGCCAGGAAAGCAAAAGCAAACCAGCGACTCCGTACCTTAGTGACTGCACTACAACTCCTTCAGAGGTTGCTTGCAGAAGTGGATAAGAAGGGAAGAGTGGGAAAGGGTTACTGCTTCCTCCAGAACTTTGTATAATTCTATTAATTAAACCAGAATCCAAAGAAGACCTGCAATGCAGAGTTATGCTAATAGCATAGGGACACAGGAACCTCCTCCTACTTTTGGTATGCAGTAACCATTTTTCAGTACTCTCAAGACACAGGGTGCTGAGTTCTGAGAAGCTGAAGACTGGCACAATTTGCTAGCACTGTGCTTTAATATTGATTTACGCTTCCTTCACTTCAGAAATAACGGGAATTTAAAAGTGATAAATGGTTGTAATACATCATGGTCTGACTTTTTCATTTTTGGAATTCTCTTTGTTCTGTAGAATATTGTGAGAAAAATTGCAATTATACAGGCTTTAAACCTTGCCTGCAGTGAACAGCCCTTTTGAATATTAATGAGAACACACATACACAAAATAAAATTTCAGGCAGAAGGTATGATTGGGTTAAAATGAAAGCAAACAATTCTTTTGCTACAAACAAACATGCCAACAGTCTTCCGTTGCTTATAATAAATAAATCAAATAAGCAAATGTAATAAATGACTGATATTAAAAATAGTTTTTTAGAAATAAGTAGAAACCCCAGATAAATAAGATTATGTTATGCAAAGTGTTATATTACTCCTACCAGCAAAATCAACCATGAGAGAGAGTTTACTGAAGAAAAAAACAGGTTCATATGGTAGGCAACATGACATTAAAGCAGGACAGCAATGGCACATTGCACGTAGTAGCAAGCTTGCTTGTGGTAGTGTCACAGGTTAGAGCAGCTGCATGAGCTACAGCAGCTCATTTAGTCTCTTGGTTTTTCCTACAGCTATAGGGAGAGCCTGGGATTGCAAGTTGCTATTTGGAGAAACTACTAAGAATATCAATTTTGTGGAACAGTTGCAGAGTCCTGGGGTTGTATTTCCTGTCTGAAGTGCTGAAATTATTTTTTTCATGAAATTTCATAAATTTTTATTTCAGTCTGATTTGGATGGTACAGGTAGCGCTGCTTTCTGGCCAGTGCCTGTATAGGCACTCAGGAATACAACAGTATTTTCTTTACTTTCCAGCAGTACAGACAACATAGGGTTTTGAAGAATGTGAAGGACAATGCAGGTTAAAAGGTTATTCCCATGCCATTTATTGAATAATATCCTGTAAAAGCTTTGATTTATCATAGAGATAGTGTGCAGTCCGATCCATTTATTTTATTTCTACCATTTTGTACCATTTATTTAATCCTTGACTACTGTAGATAAATACAAAAGGTAGTTCTGGGCATCTGTATTTTAATGTTGACATGATTACATGTGACTACAGTGAATGAAGTCAAGGGAAAAATGTTGTTGATATTAAACAAAAGAGAAATTCCTCTAGCAACATCTGGGATAAAGTGAAGATTGCATAACTTAGAGCTGTCTGTGGTCACATTGAATTTTCATTCTGTCTGCTAAACACACTTGATCACCCTGTAGTGAAGTTTGTGAATCCTGCTCTGTAGAGTTGCTATGGAAATAGTAAGACATTTGTCATCACACTGCATGAAGCCCAAGATCTAAATTCAAAAGAGACCCTCACACACCGTGATTACCATCTTCTGCAACTTATCCTAATGCAGACAATCCGAGACTTTTTATTACTTCATGTTGCTTTAATAATGCAGTTTCATGTGGTATATCCCTGAAGATGTCAGCAATGGCACTGAAACTCATCTTTCCAGAGTACACTCATTATATTTTGCAATATTAAGAGATACTTCACTGCCTTTGGGCCAGTGCATTGTGTTTTATAGGGAAAATCACCTTTTTATGTATTTTTTTTCTATTTCTGAACTATTTTTGTAAGTATGCAGTTTCTGAAAATAGTACTGTACTACAAAAATAAAAGAAAGGGGAAAGTATCATGGAGGGAAAGAAAAATATTTCATGTGATGAAAACACATGACATTTTGAATCAAGACTTTTAGCTTTGAAAAAAGACTCTTAAAATAAATCTGAGACAAGTATTTTCAGTGTAAAACCAGGTCTTTTATTGATGTTATTAAAATAATTTTTCAATTGTCCTTGGTTGATAAGCTAATTTGTTTCTTTCTAGGGAACAGCAAACAATGGGGTAGAAAGGAAGGATGGAGAGGGATAAAAGCATGCGAAGCATGCTATGCATAAGTCTTCATACTTTGATGTGTTCTGTAGCTTGGCAGTTTATGGCATGAGAGCAAAACTGAATCCCTCAGTGGACACTGGAGAGGTTTCTCCTTACCATAGAATCACGGGATGGTTTGAGTTGGAAAAAATTTTAAAGACCATCTAATTTCAATTTCCACCATGGACAGGGATGCTTTCCACTAAACCAGGTTTCTCAGAGCCTCATCCAACTTGGCCTTGAACACTTCCAGCAGTGGGACATTCACAGTTTCTCTGGGAAACCTGTTCCAGTGCCTCACCACCTCGTAGTAAAGAATTTCTTCATAATATCTAATTTAAACCTGCCATTTTTCATCTTAAAGCCATTCCCCCTTGTCCTATCACTACAAGCCCTTGTAAAAAATCCCTCTCCATCCTTTTTATAGGTCCCCTTTAGGTACTGAAAGGCCACAATGAGGTGTCCCCGGAGGCTTCTCTTGTCCAAGCTGAACAACCTCAACTCACTCAGCCAGTCTTCATAGCAGAAGTGCCTCCAAAAAAACTCTTTGAAAAAAAACTGCAGAGGTACTCCAGGGGTCACTGAAGTTAATAATGGGAACTGTATGAACAATCTGCTCCAGACCCACTCTTAAACTTTTGGGCCTCACTGCTTCTGTAAAAGCCAGATCTTATCCCACTTATGCATGGGAACTGACAACTATATGAAGGAGAAGCCTCACATTGTTATTTTTTCCCTCACATCGGTAAAGAGGAGGTGGAGAACCTTTGAGTTGACAAAAGGTGCAAAGAGGCATCAGATTTGCACACTGAGGAAGGACAAAAACCCTACATGCTGAGTGGTTTTCTTTGTTGGGTGGTTTTACTTTAACATAAAAGTGGGATAGTCAAGGCTGCAGGTGCTTCCGCAAAAAATGTTTGTACTAAAAGCACAAGAAAAACTAGCAGTAATTGTTGTCAGTGGCGTAACATTTCCATAGTTGATTCCGTTCTGTCTCCATCTCTCATAAGACATGCCAAAATTCACTTTTTTTTTTTTTTGGTGAAAAACCTTAAACCTGCTGAACTCTAGTTATATATTCAAAGTCTGGGGCTGGGAAACACGCAGTAATGAGTAACTTAGGGGTAAGGTAAGCTACCAAGAACATTTCCTAAAATAACCAGCTGCTTGATTTCTTCAGCAGCTATTCATAATCAAGGAGCCAGAATTGTGCAGGGTCTGATCAGCAATAGGTAGACATATTCCCATATGTTTCATGGGAAACAGTTTCTCACTGTCCTTAAATGTACAGTACTCTTAGGTAGTCTTCTAGCAGCTATAGAAGAGGACTAGGAGCAGGGATAGTGAATCACACTATTCGTTTTACATGGAAGATGGAAGAGACTGGAGTCAAGCTTGCTGAGGAGAGAGATCTGCTTAATCACACACTGTCACGGGGGCTCTGGAACACCTGAAACAGACCTTGGGGCCTTCATGCAGAACCAATCTCCTTTCCAGACACTTGGCACATTTATAAACATCAACTCTTAGACAGCTCTGTTTAGCTGCCTGAAACTAAACTCCCTACTTCAACATTAATGCCATTGCAAATATTTGACAGCATCTCTTCAGGCCTTCATCACCCCCTCTGACCAGGATTCCAGCCCTCCACGCGTCCAGCCCCAAGGATGTGTCTGTGTTGCTGCACTTGAACTGAGATTTTTGCCAGATCATCTGAAATAAACACTGATCTCATGAGCTGTATTGACCATTGACTGCACTGGTGCAACATTGTCAGTGCTGATGTCTTTTTCTGGTTGTCCACACACACATCTTTAATGCCATGTGAAATGCCTGAGGATGTGAAATCTGCCTGGATATATAACACAGGACTTTTTGGAAATCAACTGGAAGCCAGGTGAGCTACCTGATACAGAGCAAGTGACACAATGTGAATGCATACGTGCTGCTGAATCATTCTTCCAGGTGGCTTGATGGGGAGCCAAATCCTACAAGGCATGGCAAGAAAAAGTCAATGATATTACTATTCAAATATCTTTTGGTCTTTTTTCATGGCAACTGAAAAATCAGACTTTCATCAACAATCTCTGAAGGCATCTTCATTTTAGATGCATAGTTCGTTACCAAAGACTGGTACCTCTGAGTAGCGAAGAATTTTCATAAGGAACTACAAGATCTTGTATTTGAAATTTTTAGTCCACATTGATATTAACATGAACAGAATCTCTACAAATATATATTTCAGGGTTTCTAGTGTGGCTTATACAGAATGGTAAAATTAATGAGACCATCAATACATCCTGCACAATGGAAAATCTTTAATTGAAATGAAGATTAATATTCTGTGTTTGAGAAGGTCTTTGACTGATTCCTTTTGTATATGTTAAGGTCACCAGAAAACAGAAAAACCTGTGGTCAAAAACTCTGGGTCAAATCCCATTCAAAGTATTGTAAAAAAAAGCAATATGCACTTATTCCCTCTTCCTTCTGTTCACCTACTGTTTGCCTAGAGGTCTGATCTCAAATTATTTGGTTCTTTGCTTTTTTAATCTGTGTCTAGATTAGTCTATTATGATGGGGGGGTATTTATTTTGAGATAGCATGCATTGTTCAGATAAATTGAGTTGTTTTTCTATTTAACGTTTTAAGATTTTTTTTAATGTTCTCAGAGCCCTCTAGGCAAAATTGATGGAAAGTAAATTATTAGTGTACATTTAGTCAGGCATATCTAACCAACCCAATTTAAATACATTATGTCTTGTATAAACAAGTACTGTATATATTTAAATATTTACCATAACAATTTATAGAGTGTCTAGGATGCAGAATACCCACTCTATTTTAAAGAGTATCTGAAATGGTATATACAACTCAAGCAGCTATAGGCTCAAGATCTCTAGAAAAGAAAGAGTGAATAGGTGGAGAGCCAGTTTGTTTATGGTAAATTGGGTTGTGATGATGAGGCTTATTCTTCTTCAGGCATTTAATTTCTAATTTGAACCTTATCAACTGCTTTTTTCAAAATTTTTTTAATGACCAGGTGACTAGTTATAGAGCATGTAAGGCTTCTTTCTCACTTTTTAAAGTTTACTTGTGACTAACATTGAGTCAAACAAATTGGAAGAAAGTAACTGAGTGATAGGATTGTGAAAAGATGCCCATATTTTAAATTTTAGCAGAAATTTCTCATTTATGCATTCTAGAAAAGCATATCAGTTGCCAACATTTTGTCCTCAGAAATTGCAAGGAAACATGAATGCAGTTGTAAGACTGCTGATACTTTTTTTGAGGTTTTCTTCAGAAACTACATTTTTTTCAGAATAATATGTTTAAACATGTAACAGAAAGGATTTTGTGCCAATAAGATCTTGCAAGGAAGGAAACCAAAGTTAATAGAAGCTATAACAAGTCAATGCTGGAATTCCACAGAATCACAGAATATTCTGAGTTGAAAGGGACCCACAAGAATCATCAGAGTCCAGCTCCTGGCCATGTACAGAACCATCCCCAAGAATCACACCATGTGCCTGAAAGCATTGTGCAAACTCTTCTTGAACTGTCAGGCTTAGTGCTGTGACCACTTCCCTGGGGACCCTGTTCCAGTGCTCAACCATCCTCTGGGTGAGGAATCCTTTTCTAACATCCAACCTAAACTTCCCCTGACACAACTTCAAGCCATTTCCTCAGGTCCTATCGCTGATTGCCACAGAGATCAGTACACACCCTTCTGCTTCCTGTGACAAGGAATTTGTAACTGCAATGAAGTGTCCCCTCAGTCTCCTCTAGGCTGAACAGACCAAGTGACCTCAGCTGCATCTCACATGGGTTCCCCTCTAGACCCTTCACTGTCCTCGTGGCCCTCCTTTGGATGCTTTCTAATAGCTGAGGTCCCTTTCCTCAGCTCTGCTCTCCAGCCTCTCAGCCCCCAGTCTGTACCCACAACCAGGGTTGCCCCATCCCTGATGCAGAATCCAGCACTTGCCCTTGTTGAACTTCATATGATCGTTGATTACCCACCTCTCTGTTTTGTTGAGGTCTCTCTGCAGGGCCTATCTGCCTCTTCTAATTCTCTCTGTGAAATTCACTACTTCAAAAATATTTTTGAAAATGTTGGTCAAATTTTAATTTTCATACTTCAGCTTTAAAACTAAGAAAGAGTAAACAGAATTTTTTGTAGTTTGGGAGAATCCCTCTTGGATCCCTCTTTCCCTAATTCCATTTTGATCTCTTCTTTCTTACCTGTATTTTCTCCTGAATGAAGGATGGAAATGTTTAAAAAGAAAAGGAAATTTATAACAAACTTTGAAATAAGTAACTTTCAACTTTTTTCAGTTTGAAAAGTATAAAATTAAGTAGTATACCTATTTTATAAAGTTATTTCTTCAATTAAAATATGGTTTTCAGGGTTTTTTTTTTCTACATTTACTTCTCTTGAAATACCTAAGAGCTTACCATTACTTAAGTATTCCTAACACAAAATCTAACACAGAAATAGAATATTATTATTAAATATATTATATCTCTTCAACCAGAAGTTTTATATATGGTGTAAATCAAGATATGAAAAAGATTTTATGCTAAAGTATAAAATAGTAAAAAGTGATGTGAACCTTCAGATTCATGAGATATTGCTAATATGAAAGAAATGAAAGGCTGGCAAATCTTCTATGGCTATCCTTTACATTCCAAATGCCATTAAAAAGATAGAGCAAATGACATGATTAAATAAATCCAGCACACACAAGAAGGAAGACCTCTACCACTCAAGATATGATTATATTTTGCCTTGCATGACTTTGCTCAGTCAATAAGGAAAAAGCTTTTAATGCTGAAATGTGGCATCAGCTAATCAAAATATCAGCAAGCTCTCAGACCGAAATGTCATTTTCGTATGCAAATTGTAGGAGGGTATAATTATTAAGAGACATTTTTTAGGATACTAATGAAAATAATGTCCTTATATGTCTGTTC